TCTCGAAAAATAATTGGCTAGTGCCATAAAAAAGTCACATGACCGGAAAATTTTTTGTGGGTGAGCTACTAACGTCACACAAATACAAATTATCATATGATTTGAGATGTTCATGTTCCAGATGCCGTAATTAAACCGTGTAATCTGCCGTAATTAACCGGTGTGATCTGCCATAATAATAATAATAATACCGGTATGATCTGCCATAATTCAACCGGTATAATCTACTGTAATAGTAATTCAGCTGGTATATAGGATCTTTGCCTTGAAAATCATATGTTCTATAACTTGATTTTCAAGGTAAAGACCCCATATGGGTAATTATTTTTGAGATATGCTTAGCGATGAGATTTTCAAATTTTTAGTTAATAATAAAATATTATTGGCTACTAATAATTTGATCATTGCTGTGTGATCACATTAAAAAACTGCATATTACTTATAAGTAAATCTAAAAGTTCTAATTTCATAAATCTGATGAAATAGAGAATGATACTCACTGCACATTATTAAATAGTTTTTGGTTAAACTCGACAAATTGATTAATAATTATTAATTATTATTAGTCCAAGAGTCCATCACTAGGTATGCCATAATTAATCCGGTATTTAATAGAAAGAAAAATCATTCGCTTTTAATTACTTAGTCGAACCTTATGAAGATCCCACTATCCCTTTTTTTTTTGAATTGCGTTATTATTTAGTAATGATTTATGATGTGTCCCCAAAAGTAACGATCAAAAGAATTTCAAACGATATAAAGGCAGGTATTCACAGCCTTTCCCATTCAAATCAACTCAAAACAAATATTAAATATATAAATATATTATTTTTTCATCAAAATTCTAAATTTTCTTTAACAAAAAATGGGGTATAAAAAACGATTTGTTTTTGAAAATATTCCAGATCTTTCCGGCAAGGTAATTTTTAAAAGTGTATTTTTAAGTTAATAAAACATTTCACTTTAATTTATCAATAATTTTAGGTTGCAATAGTAACTGGAGGAAATAATGGTATAGGATTCATAACTGTCAGAGAATTGGTCCGTAAAAATGCACATGTATTCATTGCAAACCGTAGTAAAGAAAAAACTGAATCAGCAATAGAATTAATAAAAAAAGAAATAAAAAAAGATACTGTCGAATTTTTGCAATTGGACCTAAAGAGTTTAAATTCTGTTAAAAAAGCTGCTGAAACATTCTTGGCTAGAAATTTACCATTACATATCTTGTGAGTTTTTAATGAAAAACGGTTGAGATAAAAATATTTAATATGCAATAATCGTTTAATTTAAAAATATTTAATATGCAATAATCGTTTAATTTAAAAAATTCTAATTCATTCACTTAGAGTTAATAATGCTGGTATTATGGCAACGTAAGTTTATGTGTAGTTAATACAGTATACAGTATATGATGAACTTATTCTAATTTTAAATCCTTATTTAATAAAAGCCCATTTGAAACAACTCAAGATGGTATTCAAGACCAGTTTGGCGTTAATCATATTGGCCATTTTGTAAGTATAAGATCTTGATTAAAAACATTGTCTTTAAAGATGTTATTATAACAACCATTTTATAAATTACAAAATAGCTCTTCACAATCTTACTACTACCAACTATAAAAGCTTCAGCACCATCACGTATTGTCAATGTTAGTAGGTTAGTATAATTATTTCCATAACAATATGTTTAAATTATATCATATTTATTGTCTTTTTACTATATAGTGTCGCTCATAAAACCATACCACCGGCGGGAATAGAATTTGACAAGTTGAATGATCCAAATGCTCACAGTACTTATATAAGATATGGCCAGACGAAACTCGCAAACATTTTATTTACCACTGAACTTAATAAAAGACTTTTGGGAACAAATGTTTATTGTAACAGTCTCCATCCAGGTAAATAAAAAAAATATTATTCAAATTGATATAGCAAATTATTGTGAATTATTATTTTTTAATATTAATAATGCATGCGCATAAATTAAACAAGGCGTGATCAAGACAGATTTATGGAATAGTTTAGTTTCTTCTTGGAGTTCTTGGAAGAAACCATTTTTCCATATAGGAACATTATTTATGATATCACCTGAAGATGGCGCGTTAACACAACTTTATTGTGCTACAAGTCCTGAAATCGAAGAAAAAAATCTTCGAGCAAAATATTTTGTTCCATATGGTGAATTAGGAGAAACTAATGCTCAAGCTAAAGATGAAGAATTGGCAAAACAATTATGGGAATTTTCAGAAAAATTTGTTAAAGAGAAGTTAGGTGATGACATATTTAGTACTATTGGATAATTTTCTTTTGAATGTATAATACAGTAACTTTTTACACATATAACATGTACTAATTGTAATATTCCGCTTAAAGTTTTCTTCCTGCATTAAGCAGCCTATATTTAATAACTAGTTGCTTCCTGTGCTTTGCAAAAGAGTAGTTTTTAGTATTGCGTTAGAACTTAAATAAAATTTTTCGGTTATTAAAAAAATCGTTATAAAATAATTTTACAAGTTTCTAATACCAAATTTTATGATATATATCAATATATTATCAAATAAAGTAACTAAGTGTTTCAAAAAAAGAATTTTTTCAAGTGAAAAAGAAGTTACTTTAAATTTAGTTTACGAATTTATTGATAAAATATAATTTTCGTTCCAAGCCTGTTCTAATCGGTAATATATATAGTAAAAAAAATATTTGTCTCTAATTTTCTGGGCTATCATTGGACTTATAGGCTTTCAAAATCGAACAATTTAAATAGTAATTACTGTAGCAGGGTCAAAAGAGTTGTAAAATATGTATATAGTTTACCCGGTACATCGCTATGTCGGGAGAACTTGGTTAACATGAGGTCAAATTAGCTCAGGGTGGGTTACAAACATAGGCTATGCTTATAAATGATTCTTATTTAATGATAACTGGTTATTAAGGAATGTATTTAGTTGGTATAGGATTCATAAGATACATAATTACAGAAATAAGTTATTATTTATTACAATAATCTTATTAATCTATTTTAGTAGAAATTAAGGTAAAAATTTTTTTTGGTATATAACCGTATACTGTGTATACTCATTACACACACCGATGAAAGATCAATACTTGCATACGTACTTTTTGTCTACCAAAAACAATTACACGCCTATTTGTTACACGTACAACCGGTATACGAGTATACACAGTATACGGGTATACACCAAAAAAAATTATTTGTGCTGATTTCTACTATTTTGAAAACCGCGATAACCAAATATCAGATATTCGATCGATATATAAATAAACAATTACGGAATTAATGGATTGGAGATCTAGTTGAAATTAGTTATCCTGCTAGTTTATGCTTTAAAACCCGTTCGAACACTGTTTCGAACCACGTACATAAACTGAGTTTCAAACTCTGCTTTAAACTATTTATATACATGTACTACTGTATTAATTACGTGCTCCTGAGCATGTTAGTTTAAAACCTGTTATTTATTTATTTATTTATTAGAACATATAAATATATATAGTACGTATACATTTTACTTAACACTAATTTAACTATTATATTAAAATTGATGTGGAAGTAAATTTATTTTGTACTTCGTTCAGGTTTATATTGAGATGACGTTGACATTGATGTAGAGGTAAGATCATTCATATTATTAAAATTTTCAATTTGTTTTCTTCAACCATCTTATAAAGATAAAAAAATAAAAAAATTAATATCTCTTTTTAGAATTGCGGCAACATTTATGGAGTGTCCCAAAAGTAACGATTGAAATTTGGAATGAATTTAATGATATAAAAGTAGTCTTTCCCATTCAAATCCTCTTAAATCAAATATTTAAATATATTGATATTGTATATTTATAATAGATAAATAATAAATATGAAAAAAAAAACATTAACAGTGGTAAAAGAAAAAACCCTTAAATGAATAAATCAAGTTCGGGGACTAACTTTAACTTTCAACTCATTACAGCTAATAACAAGTCCGGCAACAAATTTGATTGGCTCATTCTCATTCACCAACTCAACATTATAGTTTTTATAAACTAAAGACATAAATAAAAGTAACTCAGTTATTGACAAATTCCTTCCAGGACAAATCCGTCTACCTCCACCCCACATCATAAGGGCAGACTTATCACTTTCATTATTATAATACCTATCTGGATTAAAAACTTCAGGATTATCACAAAACTCAGGGTGACCATGTGAACCTTTAAAATTTAAATGAAAATTTGTACCAGCAGGCCATTTATGTCCTGCAATTTCAAGTTCTTTGGTAATGTGACGGAATGTAAAGGCTACCGGCGGCATTAAACGGCCAGCTTCCATAATTATGGCTTTGCAATATTTTAGTTTTTTGAGATCGTTTGAATTGGAAATTTTATCGGAAGAGTTAGGTATAACAGAGTCAATTTCTTTAAGCATTCTTTGTTTTACTCGAGGATTTTTACAAAGATAATAGGTTATGTAGCAAAATAAGGACGCGGTCTAAATAGTAGTAAACTGATTTTAATTCTTAATGAATGCAAGACCTTAAATATAAGAGATAAAGGTAATACTTACAGTATCTGATCCACCTAAAAAAACATCTAGTAAATTGCCTCTTATCTCTCTATCAGTCATAGGTCTAAATGTTTCTCCTTCTATACCAGTTTTTGTAGTAATTAAGGCACTCAACATATCTGATTTTATTTCTGTATCCTGCATTTTTTCAATTTCATCTCTTCTTTTCTTAATCATATTATCCAAATTGTTAAACAAAAAGTCCCGGTTATTTAAATAAGAATTTGCTTTATTTTTGATTATTGGAATGTAATTCCTAATAAACGAGTTAAAAAACGTAAAAAATAAAAAGCTTTCCATATATTTCACAAGTGCATTGGTAAATTTAATACCATTTGCGACTACTGAATCAGAATGACTAGATTTGATATTACTTTGAGTGTTATAGTAGGAAGCAACTGAATAAGTGCGTTTTCCAGTAGTTAAAATTGAAGTAACTTCATTTGTAAATCCGTGAAACCATTGAGAAAAATCTGTTTCTATTGTCCAATTATTATTATTATTTGAAGACTTTTGCTCTCCAAGTGATTTCCAATATCCGCTCATTTCATCATATAATTGATTTATAGATGTTACAGTTGCTTCAATAACTTTAAGTGATAATGCCTCATTAAAGAACTGTCTATTAAAACTCCAACTTTTCTCATCTCCATTAAAGAAAAGTCCATGTCCATATGCTCCTATTTCTTCTATACCCTGCAAATATGGTTGGTGCATAAAAAATTCTGAAGGAGCATAAAGCTTTTTAATATATTCTGGCCGTGAGAGAATGATATATCTATCGTCAAGCATCACTTCACTGATATCTCCATAATTCTTTCGACATTGATCATAAAATTGAACCATATCTTTGCCATGTTGAAAGAGATTTCCAATGAATGGTAAAGGGAATGGACCAGGGAGCGGATTGGGACGAGTAAAATATTTGTAATAAAAATGAAAGATATAGGTAATAAAGATTAGAATGAATAATTCTACAAAGCCAAAGGATTCAATAATATTTTTAGTAAACATCTTTTATTTTGTGTTATTTGTGCGTTTTTTAGAATTAAAAAAAAAATTTTTTTTTTTATAAATTCTTTATGATCTGGACAACCTTATATATCTTTGCAAATTAATAACGATAAAAATTTTTCACATTCACAAGTTACTATTCCAAGCAGACAAGTATTAACAGATATATATCGGAATATCGATTCCGATTAGATAGTTCATTTCTTTTGTAATATTTATTTTTGGGAATTTTTTTATGACTCCAGAACGCCACAATAAAGCTGATCGACAGAATTTTGACCTATTCTCACAATTCTGCATGAAGGATCGATATACATGCATGTAATTTACTGACGCAAAGTTCATTGAAATTTATGTACGTACGTACGTACGTACATACAGTACATAAATTATTTGTAAGTTACATAAGCTCATAATAACTCCCAGAGATGAAATTAATAAATTTGGTCGAAATTATTAAATTATTGTCCGAAGAACATTATGGTGCAGATTTTTTTTTTTTTTTTGTGTATGAGTGTGTTCGAAAATTATAGATTTCGATTGGTTAATCAGATTAAAACAATTAGCATACTAATACTCCGAAAATGGCCGGTTTGTCGTGCTAATCCGTGCTTTTCTTTCGGATTTAAAATACTTTAATAAAAGTAAGCCTTCTGCCTCAAAATTGATACAGTTAATTGTCTAATAAGTATTTATTATCATGTTAACTGTACACAAAATATAATTGAAAATTCGAACGCCTTTTCTTTTGGCAGTGCTAATATGATTTAATACTGTATCTCATCTTCCAAAATCATTGTTATCGTATCAAAAAAAACAAAACAAACAAGAAATGAATACACTTAAATGAGTATGCAGTGCATATAAACAACACTCGGCAGATTTACGGAATCAAAAATTGGACCTTAAAAAAGACCCTAAATTATGTTTGTTGGTCAGATGATCGACAACAAATATAAAATTAGATAAACGCAAAACGATCTTAAAGATAAGGTGCATAAATATATATAATGTTAATTATATAAAATTCAGGATTGTGCAACTTTAGTACTAGGGGTGAGGATCGATTTATAATTGATCTAGAATTGATTCTTTTTTAATGACATTGTCAATTGGGCCCACATTAAGATATACAGGCCAATTGATCTCCAAACTCTTTATATAACAGTTCATCATGTATAATGAATGGTACTAAAATTTTGAATAATTGGATGAATTTTTTTTTAACTCGAAGACATTTGATACAAAAAGGCGTGACCCTATGATTTTCGTGGTAATGATATCGAGAAACTTCTGAGATTCTAAATACTTTATCAATCATATTCAATCTGTGATACAGTATTACATACCGATACTAGTGCGTAAAGATATAGGGTTAGGGCTATAACGATAGATTGTTACGTATTATATGTAAAATTTGCTCCCATAATTTCTTAACCAGTGTACAAAGATCGATTTAAACACTAGTTTTGGAGTATTTTCGTTTTTTTCTTTCGTAAGTGTTCGAAATTCATCAAATTTGTAATCATTGATTGAAATTTCCTTATTAGGCGGCACAAATAAGCAAATTCTAAATTGTATACTTAATTAGTTAGTGATACAAATCCAAAACAGTAATCGGTCAATCAAAGGCAAATATTATTCCGGATCGGCCCGAAACTACCCGAAGGAAAATAGAAATGAAAATACAAGACAAATACGTACAAAAAATGTTACTTATTAAAAAATAACAAGAATAAATTTAATTTTGCATACAGCTTTAAGAATTTTAATTTTTTATTTATTTTTACTTATTTTATTATTTTATTACAAAATTTATATGTTTAAATAATTAAAGAAATCATAACCGGAACAAAAAAATTTTTATAAAAATTTTTATTTTAATTGGCTAGGGTGAACTCCAAAGACTAGAGTCACATTGTATACTTCATAGCCGCAGTGTGGCATGCTCTAACTGACCCAAATAAAAGGCACAAATCCGAACTGTCGCTATAAAGTTTGCCATTTGATCTGAATATTCGAGTTACTTAATCTCCCCAAAAAACTTTCATGTAAAATTGATTGTGAAGAAGCTTTGATCAACTTCAATATTATATTATTAGAAAAACTTACAAATAATAATCATGAACGATTTTCATAATACCGTAAAAGATCATATAAAAGATCAGTGTATGAGTCATAGAATCTCTATTAATAAATGCAGATATTTTAAAAACCTTGACTACTTATTACAAATGCAAAGTAAGTATGTACTTTAGAATTTACCTTACTACAATATAAGTGCTCAGCTGTGTACTAGGCCCTAGGACTACTATAGGCTTTAAAATCGGTGGAATGTAACTGTATATGATCTTTTACGGAAGTCACATGCAAGCATTATTTTTAATATTAAATTTTGATTGTAAAAACTATATTATAATCAACTTATATACCGTATAAGCGCGAAATAACGCCAGGGGCGTTAATTCGAAAGTCAGATATCCCTAAAATAGTATATGTGGCTTCAAATTAACGCCCATGGGCGTCCCGAATTAACGCACATCCCTATAAATAAATACAAAAGGATAAATGAGTAAAAGGTGGGTTGATATTAAGTATATCTATTTTTTTTTTACTTTAACAAAAATTGTTCTTCAGGTCGTGACGATTCTAAAGGTAGTAAAATCATCAAAAATGGTCCAGTAGTTCGCCCACAATGCCTCTTTAAATTTTTTTTTTTATCTTTGTTTACAAAGATAAACAAATGTTGCGAAAATTTGAAGAGACATTGTTGGTGAACCACCAGACCGTTTTTTATGATTTTACCACCTTTGGAATCGTCTTGACCTGAATAACAACTTTCACTAAAGCCAAGAAAAAGGTTTACTTAAAATTAAATCCAGTTCCGGAGCACTTTACTATTCTTATTATAAATAAATACTATTTGTAGTTAAGGGTGCGAATTTAATTCTTGTTTCGAAATAATGCGCATGCGCGTACTCGAAATAACGCGCTGGTCAATTAATTAACGCGCAGGTGGGTGTTATTTCGCGCTTGTACGGTAATATTATATAAGCTATTATATAACTGCTAAACCTTTCGGCCTTTTTCGGAGCTTTACTTGAATTTTTATACTGACCTTGCTCGTATTTTATGTTCGTTGAATTTCTAATCAGAACATTTCGGATCTCTGCCTAATTTATAATAAACCGAACAATTAATAGTACCTATTTATTTTCTATATACATGCGAATCTAATCCAGAGCGGTGACCTTTTTTTTTGTGAATCATATAAAGTTGGTGACTTCACAAAAGTTTATAATAAATCGAATCTATAATAGGTCGATCACATTTTCAAAATTTATAGTAGTATTCGAATATTGTCATAGCGGGGACCTATAATAGAGATTTCCTGGTCCTCCGCAGCCACTATACTAGAGTTAATACCTCAATCTGAATATATTTTTTATATCCAAATTAATCCGGTTTTATCATAGTATAAATTTAAATCTGAATATATTTATAAAGCATTATGTCACGTTATATCACATGACATAGTATATATAAATCCGGATAGAGGTATTAACTCTACACTATACAACTTACAAGCACCTATAGAAAAAACTTTAGATATCAAAAACACAATATTCTTATCTGCATCAACAGATACATCTATTATGATTCTCTAACTTCAGAAAATTCAATTAAGACAAAAAAGCCATATTTTATTGATTATTTTATAGGACTTAGAAATGTTAAATGGGAACTAATGAATGATACTACTAGAGTAAGTAACTAAATATTTTGTAATTATATTTGCAGTCAAATAGCCATGTACTTTATCAATAGTGGATTGTTAATGAGATAAATATTTTTATTATTTGTGCTGAATACCAAGCTTCTATAATTGAAAAATACACAATAGAGATATTAAATCCTGATGAAAAACTATATATATAATATTGTTTTTTGATTATTGGTAATACACTTTAATTAATTCACCTTTTTTATAATGCTTTAGGTTATATATTTTTATTTCAAAAAGAGAATTTGTGAATTCTTCAATAATAAATTATGGTAGTGTATTTTTTTAGAAATTTGTATCCAATATTCTTAGATTAATTTTCAGAACATGTTTTTGATTTGTGTACAACAGTTATAAAAGTAAAAATTTTTAATAAAAAAATTATTTTAAAATATATACAATTTAATATTTAATAAGGTTGAGACATAATGTCCCAGAGCACACTTTAAGAGTATACCCTAAGCCAAAAAGTATACCCATATTACATAATTATAAATCTTAATCACATGTAATTATAGTATACTAATTAGCTACAAGATCTAGTAGTTATATACTGTATCAAGATTAGATATCTAAAAGTTTGCAAAAAAAGTTAATTAGAATGTAGAAGTTATATAATATTATCTATATTATATAATTTTAAGATATTCTAGTAGTAATTAGATCTATTCTTGATTAGGCCACTCTGAGCAGATTCTTTGTTTAAAATAACATAAAATATTTTATAGAGGGAGAAGGAGTAAAAAAAAAACACTGCAATTTTATTGGCTAAACAAAATTAAAAATTTAAAAAACTAATACTACAATTTGATTGATTGATATCATGTATTATATTTATATAAAATTTTAAAAATTAAAGGGAGTTATGTTAAACAAAAAATTAGCTTGGTGTGGCCTTATATATAAATAGATATATTCTAAGTACAATAAAAGAGTCTAAAGAATACTCTTAAAGATATGTCTGAATTTTTCCTATACTCCAACCTTAATATTTAAGCTATTATATACTTTTAAATTATATTCAAACAACAAGACCCTCATACAAATTGAAATAAAAGGTTATTTAAGAAGTTATAAAACTAATAGAGAATTGAAAAAATAATATATTATATTTTTTATTGTTTGTAAGTTTTTTAAAGATTATATATTATTACAAAACTTCATCTTGAATGCATGTTTTAACAAAATTTCATATAATTTTGATTTAATAGTTTTCAAAAAAAAATAATAAAATTGAAAATATTTATTTTCTTAACTATCTTAACTTTATAATTAAACTATTTTTTTCAGAAAGTAAAAAAATAACTATAAATTGTACATATACAAATTAATTATATAACATTAAAAGCATAGCTTATATATATATAATTTTATCTAAATTTAGAGTAAACAGAATATCAAAATTATCTAATTGGATTAAGAAACAATTTGACTCTATCTTTTTTGGCTCAAAGCCTGATTTTACAATAAAAACCAATAACTCAAAAAATCTATTGTATTAATATTTGCTAAAATAAAACCACTAATTATACAATTAGATTTAGTAAATAAAGACCTAGAAGCTTTGGGTAAAATAATACAAACATTATTAGATAAATCATTAGAAGGTGGAGTTAATATTATTATTTGTAGGCTTTATATTATCAGTAAGCATATAATGTGTAAAGGTTGAAAAACATCTATAAACTATTTTTAAGTGATAACTATAGCTAGGTTGACAGTTGAAAGTAATTCATATATTTATTATTAGAGGTTATTTAATTACACAATATACTTTTAAGATCTTATAAATAAAGAAGCACAAAGTATCAAAATTTGATCTGAAAAATACAAATCAAGTGATATCAGCAAGTCTGAAATTTAGAAAGCTGATATTTTTCTCTCCATAAAGATACTTTATAATTAGTATTTAATTCAGATATCTGAAAAAGATTTTTTATTTTAAGAAAATAACAATTAATTGTTTATATTATCTAAATTTTGTTGTTTTTTATCTCTGAATATTTGTTTATTTTTAGATATCTAATCATATAATATAATGTTAATTATTATTTTGATCATGTAATTTACCTTGTCTTTTGCAATATCTTTAAATAAAAATAAAGAAATGCATTTTTTCTATCACATATTACTTTAAAGCAGCTAGATTTAGATGATTATGAGTTGGTACAAGAAGTTGTACAAGATTTATGAAAATTTTTTCAATCCAAAAACTGTGAATGCCGAATAAGAACACTTGTTTATTTTATTATTATAATAATTACAGAATTATAATATCATTAGTTATTTATATTATATGTCTGATCTTATATTTTTCTTATAAATTATTCTTTATATCTTTATAACAAGTTAAAGGAGCATAAAATAATTATTCTCAATCCTTATTCATAAAGGTGAAATACTAAAGAATATATATTGTTGATTTATATACTTAAACTAGAGTTGCAGAAAAAACTAATTAATTTCACTAGTATTGTTGAAGATTAGTTTTAACTGTAACTCTAGTTTTACCAGTTTTATCTGGTGCATCATTGAAAATTAGTTTGACCACAAACTCTACTGTAAACTTATGTATACAGTATGGGATATTTGCTAGGAAAATTACCTTTAGAAAATTTCTGATTAGACTTATTTGGAAAAGCTTATTCATATATAAATGACAGTTTATTTAATAAACTATTGAATCAATAAAGCTAAATTAGCCTGATCAGAAAATCCTGAAGAGTGATTTTTCTAGCAAAGATCCTATATGCTTAATTTGAGTATTATAGTAACTAAAAGTTTAAATATGTTATCTACTAGTTTTTTTTCTAACTTTGCTTATTTAAAAATAATAGACTATAGTTACCAAATAACACATTATGTATGATATTTTAAGACTATATATGCATCATTTTGAAAAGGGTTGACTTGTGTACTGTACATATATCAAATTTACAAATACAAATTATACTTTTCGAGACATACAAGGGCTTATTTGAACTAAAATAATTTTTTTTAAAATGTTGCAATTTTCAAAATAATACTTGTAAGAATTACGTATTCTTTGACTATACAGTAGACTGCTGTTAGATGTCTGAAGTTAAAAAAGTTAAAATAATTTTTAAATAAATTTGATTTTTGTCAAAAAAATTTATAGATAAAAGTACTATCAACTTTACAGTTTATAAATACATATTTAGATGCCACATAAAAAAAAAAATATGCAGCAAAAAAAAATTATGTATAAAAAATTTACTAATAGAACCGCAGACACTTGTTAAATAAAAATATTTTTGCTCAAACTAATTGAAAAATACTACATTATTATGTGACTAAAAGGCACGTCCATTATCTGTGACAGGTTAAGCCACAATGTCAATTACCTGACATACCCTTAGAGTAGATCTGAATCATAATATATAAACTATGTAGTAATAGTTTGAGAAAGCTTAGTTTAAATTTATTTCCGGTATTATTATAGTAAATTCAAATTAAATTATATAATTATTATTTTGTTTTCATAGATAAGGTGGGATATATAAAGAACAATTTGACTGTATTTATCTATTTTTTTCTTTCTGCCATTTTATAAGTGAGTTTTTTTACTTAATATAAAAAGAGTGTATAAATCAAAAGTTTTTAAACAAGCCCACTGACTTTAATAAGGCTTAATTAATTAGATTATTTTTTATAATACAAAAAAAAAATATTCCAATTTTTAATACTTATATGTATATAAGTAAAAGTTTACTGATCTTTGCTTAGTATGAAAGTTGGTCTTTCAAATACCTCACAGGTTACAAATTTGGATATTTGTTATTAATATTTAATTTTAATTATCATACATAATATGTATTAGCTTACTATACTATTAAATTTATTTTTATTAACACATAGATACTTTTTTGAAATTTATTACCAGAGGTCTTGAACAGATTCTCTTTCAAAATTATACCTATTTAATAAAAAATTTCAATGAAATGTTACCATATAGAATGCAAGAGAATTTCAAAGTTCCAAAATTGGATTGGACATGTTTGTAGATATTAATAGCAAAGAAGGCACATCAGAATGGATCAAAGCCATTCAAAAATGACTATGCTACTAACAAGAGGCTATGAAATAAAAGAGTATAAAGTTCTTTTTCATGAAAAATAGCACTGCATTCATAGTAATGAAGTAAAGAAGAAGCAGGGTAATGTTGAAGTAAAGCATTCATATTCATCTTGAGCAAGGAATATATACTGTGCTGTATCCATTTATTTAAGATTAGAATGTTAGCATCTTCCATACATATATTCGTTAGAAGTTAATTTAAAATACATATACAATCACATTATAAATTCTGCTGAATCATTGAGTTTCTGGAGAGTTGATGAAGAAGTTCATGGAAAACTAATAAAATTATTCAATGATGGCTACTCATCCTCTTTTGCATTGCATACATATAAAGACACATTACATCTTAGTATCTCAAATGAGCAGGAGCTGTTAAAGATTCTTGCAGATCATTCAAAAAATCTTGACTACAATTATGTTAATAATCTTTTTTGATGATACAGAGAAGAAACTCTTGGGGACTTTAATGGTGAACCAATATTCAAACGTCTAGAGATAGTTGTTAAAAATTATAATAGTTTAGGTTGTAGAAAGGCAGTACTGCAAAAATATGATGCACGTGTTGAAACATCTTTCATCTTTTGCATTGTGATGGGTCTTATGTGTTGTGTATATAAGAAAATCTCTCAAGCAAGTGAATTGTACTACATGGATGTATTAGCATTCTTTGACCCTCTTAATACATCAGTAACTTTGTTATATACTAGTTGTACTGCAGGTGCACTCTCACTTGGATTGTTCATTATATCAGATGAATTTAAATTATATTAGAAAAGGCAGTGCTTAATTGTTTTATTTTTCTATAATTACTTTTAGTTTCATTTTACTTATTTTTTTTTTTTGTTATTAAGGGATCTCTTTGGCCTGGAGAATGTTTTATTAGAATGTAAACAGAGTTTTATAATGTAGTTACAATGATAGTATATCAAGCCACATGTGCACCTTTTGAGTGCCTAATTTAAGTAGTCCACCTGAAGGTTCTACACTAACTGCTGTACCTGCACCCCAGCTAGGGGGGTACCCATTTAAACTATCTGGTTCTAACTACCTCCATTATAACTCTAACCCATAGTTTTACTCACTATATAGTTGTGGATTTTGCATCTACCCATAGGAATTTTCACCCTACTTTAGGACTTACTAACTTAAGCTAATATATCTTCAAGGTAAACCTAACAAAGCAGTACATGTCCCACACATGTATTCATCTGCATGTTTTGTAATGGCTTCCTAATTAGTACATATTGATCTGCTGTTCTGTATTTGTATCTTACGCTACCTTTTGGGGTGCTGCCATTCTACGGACATTTCTCAAGCACCAACCTTCCTAATTAGGCATTCATTACATACTCCTTGCCCTTATCCAGTTCACAACAACCCTAGTACCCACATTCAAATTATCTTCTTACCCAGATTCTTTATCGGTTCCTCTTTTACTTCCAGCTAGCAACCCGGAAGGGTTGGTCTGCCCAGGCTTTAGATATCTAAAGGACGCCCTCCCCTTGGTCCATACTTTTAGAGCATATGACCTTTTTCTCCAGTGCAACAACCTGGCAGTTTGGCTGGTGTGTCCTCTGCCATAGGACCTGGTCCCTTGGTTCTCTAATCTCGGGCCCCAGTTCGAATTCAGCCCTCTTGTAATACTGTCGAAGATCACTGCTACCTCCAGATTCGGGTCTTCCCAAATGGGTTTTCGGTAATGCTGGTTCCTCGGGTTTAATGCGCTAAAGCTCCCATTTCTAGATAGTGTGACTGAAGTTACAGATTATAGTTCTAGATTCAATCGATAAGCATAGCTGTCAACCGAACACAAGGAACACAGGTCTATTTTTCAAATATTGTTGTCAGTAGGATTTGAACTCTAGACCTGCCACTTGGAGAGCGTGATGATTTTACTTATTTTATTATTTATTTTAAATTAATTTAAATAATTTATTTTTAATTTATTTTCATTTAATTTAGTTGAATTTGCTTAAAACTATCTTTAAAATGAATGCTTTTTATGAACATGGCCCACAAATTGGACTAATGATTTTTTTAACTGATAATTCCAATGTGGAACGTAATATATTGGAGCTTTGTTGGCCAAATGGTAATTTTTGTTTGATAGTTTAATATATATTGATATAAAATTATTAATTAAAATTTATATTATGCAGAGATTCAGCTTCTATACATATTCCATTTTCTACAAGCATTTTGGAGGTGGCTTTATAATTCAAATCACATAATTGATAAACGCGATTGATTACATATTATAAAAAATATTAAAATGATCTTATATGCATTGTCAATTTTAGAAATAAACATGCATTATAATGTATTTAAGCAAGACTTCTTTTATAAATATTAGCAACTGCAATATCACTTTGAACTTTTGTGAAAACAACAGCAATCTTGGGCTTTGTTATTTCACTTAGGCCTACCTCTACATGACAATAACACAAATAATTATATTGAGTATAGCTTTAGCATAATGAAAGATATTGTGTTTACACGAACCCAAGCTTACAACTCTATACAGGTCTTTCAGTTCATAACTACAAACATGGAAAGATTTTATTAAAGGTGATTACTTGAAATCACATACAAACACCCAGAAATTTTATATATTGCATGGTTTTTATATCCCAAATAGAAAATAGTAAATGCAGATGCTATTCAAAAAACAAATATAAAAAATGAATTTTTGATACCTAGTATAAAGACAAGTGGGCTCTTTTATATAATTAATAGTAATGTTGGTGCTTGCTCATGTCCTATTGGAATGTCTGGTGCCTCTTGCAAACACCAAGAAGCAGTCTCTATAAAATTTCATTTTTTAATAGCTAACTTCTTTCCATCTTTGACACCAGATGATCACATGATCTATGTATATATAGCACTTGGTAAGTACTTTCATAATATTTTTCTGAATTTAGTAAATCTGATTTTTATTTTTTTATTTTAGGTTACGCCTCTGAAAATAAGTTTTTTTATACATTATTATACTTGCAACATGTATTACAAAGTTATATACGGAAATGGAAATACCAAGCAATTCTTTGATTTCAAAGTAAGTCAAAAATTATTATTGAAGCAAAAATTTATAATTTAAATTATGATGTTTATTTGGTTTATTTTTTTTAGAGGTTCTGAAGAACCAAGTGAAATTGAAAGGAATAAAGAACCTGGGACATTTGATAGTTCAGAGTTTACTTCATTTTTAGAATTTGTTGGCTCTGATTATTAAAATAGTAAAAAATTTAAGAATTGTTATATTGCAGCAAGAACAAAATCTGTCTCCCAATTGTCTTTCTTTCTCTATGATATTAATCGTGATTTAGATCCAATAGTTCATATCAAAAGTGGTTCACACATATGGGCTCAAGTAAAATCTATCAGAAGATGAAAAATAGAAGAAAGTGGTGCTAAGCAAAAGTTACTTACCTCTAAAAATAAGGCTAAGAAAAATTTAGATCCTCAGGCTATTCCTGTCTGAAAAAAGAAAAAAATGGGGGAAAAAGAGCATAATTTGAGCAAAAATGTATTGAATAATCAGCCCAATTGATGCATAAAAGTTATTAAGGTTTTTTTTTTATATGTAGAGAAAATAATTTTTCATTTTATACATATAATTATGTATTAATATGATCATTATATTGGTGCTAATTAATTAAATTGAAGTAAATAAATTTGATAAATTTGGTGTTTGCTGCTTTATGTATACTATTTTGTATTGTGGACTCGACTCTAAGTACACAGCTACACAAATAATTAACATTGTGGCTTGACCTGTCACAGATAATAGATATGTGACTAAAAGCATATATATGAAATCAATCAATCAATCAACAAATCAATAAAGCAATAAATCATAACAGCTTCATATGACTAATATACACTGTGGATCAGCTAATAATACAGAGTATTGAAGAATAAATGTAAGCAAATAATAATGGCATTTATCAATTACAAAATGAATTAATTTTAGGTTTAATATTTTATACTATTTATAAGTTTAATATATAAATTCTTTGGAAGTAATACAAAATTCTTTCTGTAAGTATATATGTCACCTGCCAGATAACAAGAAATTATTCAAGATCAATAATAATTCATTAACCAAAAAGTATATTTATATTTATGTTTTTATTACTTCTTTAATCACATATTACAGAATTTAAAGTAATGAAAGTTTAAAAATAAAAGCATCATTTATTTATATTAGTTGTCACTTTCAAATTTCTGTAAATCAAAAATTGATGTTGTGAATTAAAATTTATAGCAATTAAAATATAATATATGTCAAATCTTAATGCATGTTTAATAAGTATTTTATATATATATATAAAATTTTTTTTAATGGCTATCTATTTTCTATACTAAATTTAGTACAATATACAAAATTTAGTACAGTTTTAAAAATTAAATTGTAAAAAAAAATTATTATTAACTTAAAATTAAATTTATTCAATATGTAATTCTCTATTTATATTTTATTTTGGTATATTTAAAAGATAGCTAACTTAATAAAAGTTATATTAACAAGCCTAAAATTTTAAGATCAATTTGAGATTAATTTTTTTTATAATTAAAAATTTTAAAGGT